GGACAGACAAAGCATCTATACATCCATACTAGCCAGATAACAAAGTTGATTTTATTATTCGTGTGTGTGTGTGTGTGCGTGTTTAGTTTTTTTTCTACAAAGTGGGTTTTGCTTTTTTTAAACAAGCAGGCATTGTTAATTAGAGAGCACATAGAATTAAGGCAGCTCAAATGTTCGCCTCAAAAAACTTTTAACATTAGATCCTTAAAAACTGCAGTTTGCTCTTGTTATTTTACACAGACATAGTGTCTCTCACGCAGAGTGCAGAAATAAGAATTTGTTGTTGCATAATTCCGGCTGTTGACAAAGCCATCCTCTTAATACCGCCCACAGGAATGATGGGAAAAACATTTCTTACATGGCTACAGGAGTGTTGCGATATTACTGACCCCTTTGTCACATACTATAGATGTTGAAAACTCACATAAGCTGCCTCTCACTTTTCCAGTTCTCTTGATTTGACATCTTTACAGTAGAGCTGATGTTGCTGTGATTGTTGTTTAGTTTGAGTTGTATAACACTGCTCGATGAGGGATGCACTGATTGATTGGTTTTGCTGGTATTTGAGTTGGCTGTATGGGTTTCTGCATCTCCATCTTGTTTCTGTGCGTGTGGCTGATCTTTGGCCACAGCAGTGCTCATGTTCCCCCAGTCTGATTAAACAGAAGCCCTCCAAACATTCAGAATGACTAATTTTGGTGAATGAAAAAGCCAAGTGCTCTCTCTGTACTCAGCCTCGGGGCTGAAAGACAGTTTGGCCACTAAAACAGGCGCCTCTCTAGTAGATCCTTTGAAACGCTCTTGGATTACAGTATTGCACTCAAGCTCTATGGTTTGTTATTTCAGTTCATTTTAGCTCCTTGCATCTCTCTGTGCTTCTTTGAGCTTGTTGACAGAACACACTTCGCTTCCCTCTAGTGGACTAATGTTGCCATGGCCTTTTATTGTAAACAACGTTGCTCCTTTTTTATAAAGTTGCTTGTAAATATGGGTGGCATTGTTTTGGGATTATTTCCAGAATTAAGTCTTGTATTTATTTTCCCCCAATGGCATGAACATGTGACCCGACCACTAGCAGTTGTTAAATATCCCCAATTGTTTGCACATGACTCCACATTTAACTCTCATGTTTTTGTTGTTTTTCATATAAAAATTGCTTATTTTTAGACTTATACTACCTTTCAAAAGTTTAAGGCCAGTAAGATTTTTTTTAATTAAATTCTACTCAACAAGGAAGCATTAAATTGATCATGTGACAGTAGCAATTCTGTTCTTTTGAACTTTCCATTCATCAAAGAATCCACAAAAATATTAGCAGCACAACTGTTTCCAACACTCACAATAAGAAATCATTCTTGAGCACCAAATAAAAATATTAGAATGATTTCTGAAGGATCATGTGACACCTGAAGACTGGAGTAATAAATGCTGAAAATTCAGCTTTGTCAATTCATGGCATTTTCACAGGAATAACTTACATTTTAAAATATATTCAAACAAAAACAGCTATTTTAAATTGTAATAATATTTCCCAATATTAATGGTTTTACTGATTTTTTTTTTACCTCAGACTTTTGAAAGGTGGTGTATTTTGATGAGAGAAATCGCTTATTTCGGGCTTGTTTTTGGGCAAGTTTTTTTCTTTTTTAGGAAGATCTGGCAACCCCATAATAGACACACTGGATATTTTTCACTCTGGATCACCATCATGTCATTTAGAAAGCACTGGACAGTAAATCAAATAGGAGTTTCAAAATTATTTTAAAGATTACTGGAACTTTATGAGAGAAATGATATTGTTTTGTGGCCATTTATAATAGTTGACACAGTTTTACAGTGTTTACCATAAGTGCAATGACTATCTCTCCCATACAATGTACACATACATACACAGTGTCTCTGTGTTGTTGTCAAGGACAGCTTCATCTGCTATGTCCCCCCCCACACACACACACACGCGTACGTTTTTGCTGGTGTCATTGTCTTGTCTGCGTGGGACCGCAGACACTACAACAGTGTTGGGTTTCAGGGATATATCTGTCCCAGCCCAGTCTGTGCTGCTCCGGTTACAACAGCAAGGTCACACAAGCACACACACATATACACATACAGGGAAGTGAAAAAAAAATCATATTTCATGTCTGTGAGATAAGCAGTAATGGGTGGTGTGTGCAGCTATAGGAAGTGATTTCTGTATGACGTGACCTTAAATTGTCCTTCAGACACCCTATTAATCAACATAAACAAGCTGTAACTGCTTATTTTAAGAGTACACTGTTATAGAGGAAGTAAGTTTGAAAATGGGAATAAAATTGTATAGGTCAGAGTGACAAAATTGGTGCTTTTTTTTTTCAGAACATCTGGATATCGGAGTAAAAAAAATGTGACTCTTATGTTTCCCAATTATAGATTTAAATCTCATACTGTGACTATATTTCACCATTTCTGCTTTGATTTTGCCAAATTGCTACTGTATATCTTACAAAGCAGATGTTTTTCTTGCAATTGAATTTGAGACATTTTATTTCATAATTGCAACTTTGTCTTGCATTGATTTATATCTCACAGTGTGACTTATGTTCTTATTTAAAATTTATCTCACAATTACATTTTTTGTTTTTTACTCTGAGGTGGAAAAAGGCTTCCATAGTTCACTGTGGCATATTTAAAATACTAACTTAGTAAATAATTACTTTAAGTGAAAACAAATAAGAGGGGAGAAGTAAAAGGGCTGAGAATGAAAGAGGAGGAGGAGAGAGAGGAAAAAAGCTAGGAAATTTGAGTCAATAATGAGAACGACATATGATGCTGTTGCTGGCTCCTCGCGACCAATCCAGACATGTAATGCACGTTTGGTTGCGCCGCACACAAAGTATCAAGATTCTCAGATCAACACTGAGATTCACTGTTTCTCCTATAAACACACACACACACCAAACACATGGACTGAGCGTGTATACTGGGTGTGTGTGTTTATGCTTCTCTGACATTTTGCCCTTTTTATCAATCTGCTTTCTGTAACACCTCCATCCAGACGGAGGGTCAGCCAGCCGTATCAGCACTGACAAAATAAATCTGACACAGGAATGTGTGTGTGTGTGTGTGTTTAAATCTGACACTGGAATGAGACTCCACCACATACGAACCCCAGAGAGAAATCTAGTCCTTACTCTAACCAGTCACAATTAGACCTCTGAGCCTACTCTTAAAAAAGTATACCACTGTGAAACTGAATCCTGCAGCAAAAAGTACAGAGGGATAGGGTAGGATTGCACTCTTCTTTGTACGTCGTCCAAGAGCAGAGAGAAAAAGAAGAGGGGAAAAGAGGGAGAGAGAGAAGTGGTAAAGGTTGAAGGGGAGATTTGGGTCAGTGTTGCCCGGTTAAACTTAGTTTATATGAGAGTAATCAGAGAAAAAATAAATAAAACAAAACAAAAACAACAACAGTAAAGATGAAAAACAAAAGATAGAAACAGAAGAAAATGAAAAACAAAAAAAGGATAAAAGTAACAAAAAAACAAGAAAAATAAACTAAACCAAAAAAAGAAAGCAAAACAAAGAAGCAATTAAAAAGCAAATAAAAACAACAAAAATAAAAAAGGAAAAAAGTATATCAAAGTGACTAAAGTAAAGAACAAACAAAAAACGTAAAACAAAGAATGTCTGATCTGAAAGTCTGCTCTCAGGAAATTGTTTAAATTAAAATGTTTAGATTTATTTCCTCTTTTCATGTATGACTGAAACTTTTGTATTCATCGATATTGTCAAATCATGTGTATTTTTGATTTGTGTATTTTTTATTTTTCATCCTCCTTGTGATTTCCGACACATTGCTTGACAAATTTTTGACTTGAATTTTAGACCTTCTCCCAAAATAAATTGGCAAACTTGAATGTTTTGTCAAACTGAACTCCATTTTGGCCAGAAATCTGATACACCTTCTCCCAATTACACACACACAAACACGCACACGCTTGGCTTTAAGGTTCACTCCTCCACTTTAGTCAAAACAAATAACCTATGCACCCAGGTGCTAACCATGCATTAAGCTCTTACAGTACTCTGTGTAACTAAAATCATTTTGGCTCTGTGTCCACCTAACCAACCCAGTCTACCTTTAAGCTAAATGTTCTTGGCATCTTGTGTAAGTGAACTCTACACTGAGGCACCTTGGAACTAGCTGAAACTGTTCCTGTAACCGTAGCTGGAAAGGAAGTGATGAACATAATTTAGCACTGATTGGGATTTGGCAAAAAATAAAGCATAAAAAAACCTCAAGAATGCACCCTTGACACCAGCTCACAGCTGCCCGAGACGCTTACTGACCTCTCCACTGGTTTTGATTGTACTCTTGATAGCAAACCCAGGAGGGATTTTTCTTAAATAAGAGCACTGCAATAAGATGGATACTGATATAAATAATGAGAAATCCAACCCAAATGCCCCTGTGGACACTGATTTCCATCTAAGCCATCTGATACATCAGGACAGTGTGTACACAACCCACCAGCAGTGTTCGACCGACTCTTCGCTGAGCCGTGCGGCGTGGCAATGAGCACTTGTGATTGAACAGACTGGGTGGGACAGTCTCCAAGCCAATGGCCGCAAAGCTAGCAGCCATTTTAACAGTTCGCCAAAATGCTTGGTGAGGTCTGTACCCTGTAATCCTCAATCAAATCAGTGAGTGAATGAATTTTCATTGCACAATAAACCAGCAAACCATCCACATACACTGTTCTCCAGTAGTGCAGACTACTTATCTTCTAGTTTTCTTCTCCAACGATGGATGAGTTTCCAGCTTCTTCCCAGGGATGAAATGAAAGTTCACTCCATCCTTCTGTTTTTGTACTCCCTCCAGGGTGTATGTACGTTTCTCTCTTCCTGTCTTTTTTGGTGTCCGGTTCCAGAACACCTCTCCCTCAGAAAGGAGAGAAAGGGAAAGAGGTTAAGAAAGAGTACAGAGTGTTTTGCTGGTGTTGCAGATTCTGATAAGCAACTCTGCATCTGTATCAGTCTTTCTGACTGAAGCTATTGAATCAGAAGCATCCGATTCCAAAAGTACAGACAGATTAAACCGAGCTTCTTTGAATGCACACACAAAGCAGAAAACTGGTCCATCCATCTGTGGCAGGATTTGACTGGCTCTGTTCCAAATTATAGTTATTCATGAGCGTGTTTGATTGGCAGCCTGGCAGATCTATTGTGTTTGGCTTAAGCTCCGCCTTTTTGGAAATCTGTATATGTACACTGTAATGCCGCCTCCAACCAGTAGTTGGAAAGTCCTCTCAACAAGCCGTGGATGGAGGGGTCGAGTGGAGAGGATGAGAAGTATCTCTTTCATCAACAAGTAGACTGAGAACAGACTTTGCCTGAAGATATCGCAGTTGAAGGTCAAACATCACGTCCGATCTACTTCCCAGATTAACACTTTGTGTCAGTCTTTGTTTAGCCGAAAGGGGTGGAAACGGAGCAGACTGCTGCCCAATCCCGATGATCAGTGTGCATATTATGTCGCAACGTGCATGTGCGTGTTTGGAAAAGTGGAGAAAACAAGGTTGACATCTTGACTGGCTGGACTGCGGATGAAGTCTGTGGACAGCTGATGGTCTCTGCTGCAGTGCAATCCTCTTTATCCCTTTGGTGAGATGGTGATTTCTATAAGAGAGAGGTGGGGAAAATAAAAGAGAAAGAAAGAAGAGAAAAAAGAGTAATGGGTAAATTGTCACATACAGCCTTGTTGGTCTTTTTTGATCTGTTTGAATGATTTATATGAATAAAGGATCAATTCAGGGATAAATTTAAGAGTTATCAGAATATTAAAGGAATAGTTCATCCGTTTGTCATTATTTACTCCCCCTCATGTCAATGGGGACTGAGGCTGTCAAGCTCCAAAATGATATCTGATTTATTTCAGCAAGGATGCATTAAATTGATTAGAATTGACAGTAAAGGCATTTATAATAAATACAGTTCTTTTGAACTTTCTATTCATCAAAGATTCCTGAAAAAAATGTATTGTGGCTTCCACAAAAACATGAAGCTGCACAACTGTTTTCAACATTGATGATAATATAAATGTATCTGGAGCACCAAATCAGCATATTACAATGATTGCTGAAGGATCATAAAGGATTCTGAGGATGAAGACTGTAACAATGAAAATTCAGCATTGCCATCACAGGAATGAATTAAATGTTAAGATATATTCAAACAGAATACAGTTGTTTTAAATTGTAATAATATTTCACAATAGTACTGTATTTTTTGATCAAATACTCTCAATGCAACATTGGTGAGCATCAGAGATTTCTTTAAATAATTTTTTTTTTACCAAAAATCTTAACACCATGCAGTTTAATGGTAGTGTATGTTTGATATATTAGTGAGTTATATAGACTTATATGAACTTTCATGATAATTTTATGGTGCTTTTGCTTCCTTTTGAAGTTAAAAAGCTCTCGTTAAACATTTAATTGTATGGAAAAGAGAGACAAAGTAGGCCTACATTTTTCAAAATTCACTTTTTGTGTTTCACGGAAGAAATACAGATTTGGTGCAACCTGGGGGTGTGTAAATGAAAATAATTTTTTATTTGTGTGTGAACAATTTCTTTAATAAAAATCTTAAAAAAAAAAAAAAAAAAAGAAACATTTACGGCATTATAGCGCTTAAAGCAATCTAAGAGTGAAGGCAGACATGCAGTAAATCATAAGACTACTAAGGAAGTGGACAAAATGTGATTCTCACCTGTCCTCTATTTCACTTGTTCTGATTGCGGATACGCAGACACCTTCTCTTCAGCGGAGGCTCTATTTCCATTGGAACGGTTCCTGTTAATGGGGCTGTCAAGCCACAGGGCAAAATGGTAGCGGTTTTGTCAGCAGGTTTGGGCACGGGCTGAATGACACAGCCAGGTTTGGGCATTAGGGGCAGGGCGTAGGCATGGTCCTCATCAGATGGGGCATCTTCAGGGCTCTGAGGTTTGTCCTCCCCTGTTAGTGCGGTAATGGCAGGCTGGTCATTTGAGCTTCTCTTACCTGCTGAGTCTCTTTCTGTTGCTAAGCAGCTGTTCTCTTTCAGGTCCTCTCCTTCTAGATCGGCCCCCACAGGCTCGTCGCACACAGCGGCAGTTCTGCGGCAGGGGTCCACTAGAGGGCGCTGCTCTAACAGAGGTGTTCTGATCGAACTCTCTGCTGGAGGCACATTACAGCTCCCATTAACAATCACATTGCAGGGCGTAGCAGAGCCAGGCTCAGATTTAGCCGTGGCGGTGTTGCTAGGAACAGTGGAGGCGCTGCATGCGATTAGCTGAGAAAGTGGCGGTGTGCCGCTGCAGTAGGACGGGTTGGCACAAGGCAGAGCCACGCTAGCCAACGCGCTTTCAGCATTACTGTCTCTGTGGTTATCTTCTATTGTACCTGTGCTAGTACCGGCCGACCCATCCACCTCAGTGTCACCCAAAACTGCAGGTGGTGGGCTTAACCCGGGCTCTGCTTTTACCTGCACACAGGTTACAGCCCTCTGGATAACTAGCTGTTGCCGGGAACGGCGACTGGTTGTTAAATCAATGACTCCATCTGCTGGTGTGTCTTTCTGGGAGTGTCCAGAGCTTCCGTTACCAGAGTTCTCTGTTTTAACCATCAGCTCCGCCACGTTTGCCCTGCCCTGCTCCGTCTGTTTGGAAAATCCTGGCAAAAGTGTATCTGAGGTGGGAGGGGCTTGCTGAAAGTCCCTCCCCTCCCCTCTGGAGGTTCTTTGAGAAAATGGTGGCGGTGCTTTTGAATCACTCCGCTCGCTCGCAGCATTCTGAAGCGTTCCATCATTTCCTGATCGGTCACCAGAAGCCTGCGGACTGAATGGTATGGGCACTGGAATGGGTATGGGGACCGGTAATGGCACAATCACTGGATAGGGCACTAATAATGTTGGTGGTGGCACTAGGGGGGCCAGAGAAGGTATGCCAATATTCATAATGGGTGGAACTGGGATGGATCCAGGTGGCATCATGTTAACTGGGGGGAAAGGCAAGGCTGGCATGTGGCCACCAGGATAAGGGTGCATCATACCCGGAGGGTTCCCAGAAAGGGTTGGTGTGGAGGATGGGTGTATGTGGGGGGAAAGGAGCGGGCGGTGCATAGGGCTTGATGGATGACCCAAAGTCCGAGGAGGAGGTGGTGGCCCAATGCCAGGAATCATGGGATTGGAATGAGGGCTGTTGGGGCCTGGGGGACGTAAGAACGGAGGGTGAATCTGCTGCATCATCTGGTGCTCCATAAAGAGAGGGAGAGGAACTGGGCCACGTGGTGTCATCACCATCGGTGGGCTGCCAGGCGGCACACCCAGAGCTGGATGTAAACCTGCTATCGATGGCAGAGGAGGAGGTGGCGGTAACGCGGGGCTTTCGTGTGGCCGCGGTGTGGGGATTTTCGTAGATGATGATGACGAGGATGACGAGGACGAGGAGGAACACACAGTTCCAGTTTCAGATGGTGACCCCGAGGTGGATCCAAAGGGTCCGGCTACAATGGTGGCACCCCCTGGTGAAGGTGCCTTGCGACTGCGGAGCTCATTTAGAGGTGCGCTCCAGGACTCGGGTGTAAGGAGTTGTACACCCGCTGCGCTCTCTGATTTCATATCACTCGTGGGGAGAGGAGGGTTACATAAACCCCCAGGCAGTGCGGCCTGAGTCTCTTTATAGAATATGTCCATTTTATACTGGTTCAGACACTTTGCACTGCAGAACTGGAGCCGTCTTTCACCCGCTCCAAAATCCAGGTATTCCTTAGTGTGGCGGATGTGTTTGCACCAATCGCAGACCTGTAACATGAACAACCGCAAAATGAACAACCTAAACTAGAGATTAACACATCACAATGTCTATTAAAGCATACTAATCCAAGCACTCTCTGTGGACTAAGACATCATTAAAAGAGTATGGCTGTCCTTCTATATTACTTAGTCTGATGACACAGTGTGTGAAGAGAGTGTGTGTGTGTGTTCTGTGAAGTGTCAGATCTATGTAAGATTAGGGTTTTACAGAATAGGCATTAAATATAACAAACCAAGTGTGAAGAAAAATGTGGTTTATGTCATGAAATATTAAAATCAAATCAAGATGATCATCTCTCTCAGAATACAGAAATAATATTGTACAATAAAAAGACAAAATAAAATATAAACATATATTAAATATGTATAATGCATTTAAATATTTAAAATAAATATATATATGTTAATAATAAATATACAAATATGTAACAATGAAATTATATATATATATATATATATATATATATATGTATATATGTATA